AAGATGCGTGTGCAACTCTAACGTGATCAAGTCCGTTATCACACCTGTTTTAGCAGAGTTGGAACACTCCTACGTAAAGTGCGGAAGCAGTTATCAGTCGCAGTTCATCAGTTTGGATGTTATAGCTGTTCTCGGCATCGGTTCCTGAATCGTGTATGCGAGGGCTAGCGAACGCCTTCATTGCTGACAGTGGCGCGAAGAAATCAGGTAGTATAAAGTTACTTTTGAACTGAGTACTTTGTCGGTTGAGGACAATCTGCTACCTTCTACGTGATTAATGCCTAATGCAACTTCCGGAGCCTGTTCCGCGAATAACCACGTCAAGGTTATGTACGTTTTTGAACCTCATGCAAGAGCATGAAGTTCTTTCGCTTTTAAGATTTGCACAAGAAAGTCGATTGTGCACAACAATTTGTCGGCTTTAGGCTAACTAGTTGACAGGGTACGGAAAACCCACTGTGATTTTACTGTGTGGACAAACATTTGTATCTCGAACCATTTGCAAAATATTTGCGTTGGACAGCGAAATTTTGCAATACAGGCTTTTCTCGGTGCTACCCCAAGCAATACGATGACAGGGTTCGCACTGTTGGCTATGCATTAATCGTCCACGGAAAAGGACTACGAAGTGTATCTAAATATTTTACCGTTTGAAGATTCCAAGCAAATCGCAATCAGCTTTAACTGTGCTGATCTGGATGCAGCAGCCTTGTTATAGGGCATCGAATGGCGCTGTCTGCCAGGCATGCAAATTGCAAATATAATGGTGGTTATTGCTAATTGATCGCTTTAGCACTGGCGTTCTTTTTCTCATGAAAGAATGTTGCCTTCTAAGCAATTATGAGTAGCAAATTCTCTTCGATTCATAAGAGGTTGTTACTAATAGTAATGGAGACGATCTTATCGTTTACTGATTGAAGGTGATATAGTGCATCTTTTAGTAATAATGAAAGCTGATGCACCGCTCTTAATACCTACCATTTTAGAGAAAGCCAATGTGCGTCATGCGCGTCTTACTACATTGACCTTATTGATGGAGAAAGGTGGTGAGTGAGGACGGACACCCTAATGTATGCGTTAGCATTTACTTTCCAAGAATGCGGCTTTGTCTTCACGTGCAACTTCTCAGTGGGGTATGTGTTTTCAGCATAAAAAGACTACTTTTACGTACATCTTTATATTGCCTTCGCATCTTAAAACATCATCCCCCTGCTTAGCACTTCGTGTGAAGATGTCCGCAAAACTCTTGACTTGGCTGTATCTAATGCCACCGAATGTCCTCAGTAGTGTACAATGTGAGATCTAGCTTTCACTGAATGTATTTTAGGCGCTTAAGGCAGCAGTTGCCAATGGAAGAGCATGGGTGACTAAGCAGGCCTTTGAACGTGGTCGTTCACGTGCGTGAACAAGTTGAGTCAAGAAATTAAGAGCAATACTTTAGGCTTACTATCAAATCTCGAGGGACTTCATGATCTTCATTCTCCTCCTCCTCCTCTTCCTTCTTTAAACAGACATTAATCTAAGGAGTTTTTAAGCTAATGCTATAACAGCCGAAATTTGACTGGATAAGCATTGCGAATTGTGGGCTGGATATGGGGACATTTTTTGTAGTTTTATTATTGCTTGTCTTCCACTAGACGTTAGCTAGACGAAACGGGTTAATATAGGGAACCAAGCAACAGTAAGTGCCACTAATTACAAAGAGCGCTTTTGAATCGACTTCCACCTTTAAGAGGCTCGTTGTTATAGTCCTCTCTTTGTCATTTGATTTCGACTGCTGTAAACTTTCACCTCCTTATTCGTTCATCATTTAGATGCTCCGAACGCTCACGCTACTGGCGATCTCCGGTGTCATTTACAGCTGCTCCGCCTACGTCCACCTACCGGAACGCGGACCTTTCGACGAATTGAGCTCAGATGAGATCTATAACGCCTTCACCAATCTTGCTAAATTCCTGCACAAAAAACTTGTTGATGGATACTTTTTTCTATCCTTTGACACAAATCTCAGCTCTATTCAGAAGCATTATCTCACTAGAGCACTGTACGTTGCATTAGAGGTACCTCCCAAGCACAGACGTGACGGAAATCGTTTCACACGCCTTGCCAGGGTTGCACTCTACACCCCTGCTTCAGGCTACGTGTATGAGTACCTTGTAGGTACCACACAGTTCAATGCAACCTTTACAGAAGCACGAAGACTTCCTGCTTTGAAACGGCCTGTGGATGAGATTGAGACAAAGGCACTGAATCGCTTCCTTCATCAAACATGCAGTGACGAGTTCGGTCGATTTCTAAAGCTGTACTACGGCGCTACGTTCATGCATAAAGAAGATGGCCAGTTTGGGGTGCCAGATTGTGCGCGAACAGTGGAAAGTGAAGCTGGCAAGAAAACCCCTCCCTCCGCCTTCTATTCCTGTCTGTTTGCCATGTTCGCATCTCCTAGGGTGACTTTGCGAAGGCCCAGTAGGCGCGTTTCAGTGTTTCGACTGAATAGATTTGTACCACCGTACAATCAACATCCAACTGATGTACATATAGAGGTTAGTTCAGATCCAATTAACTATGCTAGTTTCACCACTTGAATGGACCAAGCATAAACTACACTATTCCCATCCATTTCTTGCCGTTTTATTACACCAGTATAGGATTTGCCTAACTTTTTCCAAAAACTGTCAACTAAGAAAATTGAAAGAGGCATTAGAAGATTGAGGCTATCGTAATTATCGATGCAGTCACTCCTAAGTGCGTGATCACTGAAGTGGTAACATGGTTTGTTGTTGTGGAGGTGGTGTTGGTGGTAGATGGCAAATATTGCCGAGCATGAGCCTAATACTAGCCAGCAAACTGAAAAGTGTTTTATAGTTTATTTTTAAGTTTTTTTATGAACCAGAGTCTCATATAACATACAGCGGCCAGCCTCGCCTCTGTGCTACCTATCTTATGGACCTCCATTTACGTCGAGAAATTCCAGATCCATCTGTTTGCCTACAAAGTCCCCTATTAAGATGACTTAGTTGAGGAGAAAGCCATTTGCGTCAAACTATTCTCTACCAGCCTTTAACAAAACAAATCTTTATTCAAGAATGATTATTTGGAAAGCGCATATGCAAATTAGTACATGGGTAGTTGAGCCTTTGGGAAATATGCCTCCTGTCCGATTGCATGTTTACTAATGGTTGCGCGTCTAGAGGAGTGCAGAATTTCCATTAGCTCGGTTCGCTCTCCATCTGCAGGTCGACCATACTGATGACGACCAGTCTCTTTGGAAGATTTGCGGACTGAGCATACAGGGCCATCGATTTAATAGTATGGAAGAATTCTTGTCAATCAGGTCCACATGGTCAAAGCTCTTTGTTCCCAAAATCATCTTCACGAGCCCATTCACGGACAGCCATACGAGGCTGCGCAGTGGACTCTGTCCGCGTAGTCGCGTCATGAGAACTGCTTTCACATCATTACAGGGCACAATTGTGAACAAGCATATATCCTACGGCCCGTGGCAATTTGATGTCGCGGTCCGCCATGAAACCGGTATCCGTTTTTATAATGTCTACTTCAACCATCAATTACTGATGCATGAGGCTGGACTAGACGAGACTGTGACCATTTATGGCGGAGAGACACCCTTTATGCGTACTCTCACGTCGGTGGAATCCATGTTCGGCATTGGTTCATTAACCTCGGAATTGTCACCCGGTATAGACTGTCCTGATGATGCGGTCTTTCTCTCTGTTCCCGTCATTCTGAGTCCGTCTGTGGGTGCAAGGATAGTGCACAATGGGATCTGTATTTACGCCTCGGCCGCAAGCGTGCATGAAGGTGCATTGCGTCGATACGTTGAGCCGCATGGGGAAAATTTAGTGCAACCGGACCCCGGATATGCTACAGGAACGGTTGAGAAGGCGCTCTACGTGGTGACTCAGGCCGCCATCTTTAATTACCATTATGCCTTTGTAAACATCTTTTCGGCAAGCGGTACCTACGCTAGTTACGTCGTTCCCTCAGGTTACATCCACGTGGATGTACCCTTATCTACAGATCCTCTTTTTGGGTATGTAATTCCCAGGCTTGATCTGCGTTTCAGCCTACACACTCATCACTTTCTCTTCTTCATCGACGCATTGGGAGTCAACAACACTGTGCGTTTCACACTTTAATGGTTGAATGTGCACACACATGTGATTTTAATGTTCTCTTCTCGCGCCCTACACCAAATAGGTAGAAAGGATGCAGGTTTACGCAGAAGGACAGAAGGATAGAGTGGATAGCATGAGCATGAAAGTGACGAAGGTGAAGACAGAACGCGAGGGCAAATTTCAATGTGGGGATCCAACCATCCAACTAGCTATCTGTTCGAATGGTACAACGGATGGAGTAAACTCTCAGTGTCTGCACATCACCAATACTTCACCAGTACCGTCACTGGTGTCGTACAATTCGTCTCGCTCGTTCGCCTGGATTCGGTTCGTTATATTATTGAAGAGTCGAACTCACAGGATTTTTAGACTTTTAAGTATTGTGTAACAACAGTGTCTTTTGTTGATAAAGAAGTTATTGCATAACATAGTTCCCTAATCAATCAAGATGAAGAGACCTTGAATCCACTGTTAAGTGTCTTGCCATAGTCGATTTGCAAGTCTCGTACCAGAGCCCAATAATCGCCTTTCAGTGGTCATTCACAGTTCCGGTTAATGAAAAAGCACATGCCACAATCTCATTGCTCTTCTTCTTCATTTTTCTCCAGTGCCAAATGGATAAGGCCGTGATTAAAAAAACCCTTCTTTTCCTTCAATGTAGATGGAAGAGGAAAACAAGTAAAGCGGCTCAACTACTTAACAAAGCTTAGCTATTTTTGAATGTGAGCTGCGTGGTAATGCGGCTAGTTTGAGCGACCATTTTGATTCGTGCGGCTACTAATGTCAGGGCCTCTCATACCTTTGGCCTTTGCGCCCAAACCCCCGAACCATTCGCAACTCTCGCATGAAGATGATGAGGTATTTGTATGGTAATGAGGAAAGTTAAAATCATTAATTTGGAGATGTACGATGAAGATGAGGAGGAGGAGGAGGACGAGATCTCTCTCACCTTCTTCTCTCTTCACAACCTATAGTTTGGTCGTACGGTAGAGTTCTTCCTCTCTCCTCCTGCCACATTGCTCAGGGCAAAGCACCCCGCTTACCTCCTCATTAAGTCATGCTACTTTTGTCCGCTGGCACCCATTCTGCATATGACAGGAGTAATTTACATTGCAAATGATCTGCGGTGCTGCTACGCAAATCACACATCATGCAGTCCCACGCCACCGAAGCAGTGGCTGACTCCAAGACACCAACTTCCGGTCTTTCAACCAACTATAACGCTTTTAATAATATCCTGCTGCTGCCAAATTTAATGATTCCTGCAATTCATGAGGCACCTCACCATATTTGACGCCCAAAATATGCGAATTCTTCCCATGCATTCTACAGGCAGAGCCTGTGGTTCACCAAATACAAAGAGGATGAACTGCGTGCCTCATCCATCTACAACGGCGTTGACTTAACAGATCCCCTCGTCGACTTCACTGCCTTCAGTACCGATGAGTCCCTAGATGATGTGAGTCATTACGATAAATGTGTGTCCTCTGCGTTGGAGACTATTAGCGGTAGCACTCTCTGCAGCAGTAACCTTGGCCTCTCTCCGCTGGAGGGACTTGTCGGTGAGTTATTGTCTGCAATACTAAGTGAATGCATGGGATCACGGAAGTTTGGCAGCTGCTGTCTCAAATTACTCCTCGAATGACACTTTTGAGGCCATTGGGTACGCGCAGGAATATGGCATTGCGTCAACGACCTCGTGGCCTTAAGTGTCGCCCTCTTTCCCTCCTCTTGTCTTTGTTCCTGTTCCTATAATACCTACTGATCTTCAGCGTGCCTAGTGATAGAGGTTGTGCATTCCCACTTAGGATGTGGTAATGTGGGTAAACGTGGGATTCATTCACGTCCCAGTGAGTGAGGACATACCCCAAACACCGAACAAGGGTAGTCAACTGGGACTTATTTTGAGGCCCCAGAACTTCTTTCTACAAACTCCCGACGGCCCCGCAAATGCGGCCTACGTCTTCACTACCGATGTAAGTGTGCCTTATGCCGACTCTTTATAGTAGCTGCCTGTGCTCAAGTCAAAGAATGATGATGGTAGTGGTAATATTAAAGGGATCAATTTTTGTTGGGTTTTTTTACGTCTTATGTTTGGTGCACACATCCCCTTCCTAATCATAATTTCAGCCGAGATTCTCAACGGGTCAGAGAAAAGTATGGTATAGTAACCCGTAGAACTAGCTAGTTTAATATTTTCAGTTCTAAAATATTAAAATAATGGGATCACTTTAACCACATTGAGAGGTGGATAAGGGTGATGCACCAATCGGGTGCTTCCCCTCTCCAGAACTTTAGCCTCAACTCAGCATATGATCATTTCGAAGGCTAGATCACATTTGATGACATCAAAGTACTTCAAAGTGCTCATTTCGTTTTATCGACAGGGCACAATTTAATGTTTCTGGTGCTAAACAAATTGCGTGCAGGTGGGCTGCTAGTTGACTTAGTAGGATTTCAAAACCGATAGGATTATGGAGTCTGCCTTCTATTTATCACTTTTTCCTGTCCCATGATTTATGTTTGCCCTATCACAGAAAGACGAATGGATAAACGGGTACGTTGGATCATCTCATCCCGATTGTGAATTGGTCAATACCACGGTCTTTAATTCTGTCAACTGACAAAAGAAGCATTCAATGACCGGGGCTAATGACACCGAATTTCAACGCTATTGCGCTTTCCTCACTTGATTACCCTTGATGATCCAGAAATATAGGTGTACCAACCTTCCTAAAGGTCTGTATTGTCGTAATGAAGTAAATCTTCATCGCTCGATTAAAATAAAATTGTCTGTTTAGGATTAAAACCATTAATTGCGAATGTGCTCGGTAGAAAATACCGACTCGCTTGGAGAGTACTCATTCGAATAGGTAATTGGGATGGAAAAATGAGTTGGAGTTGTGGGAAAGGGAGGTGATAGGGTACGTCAACACTGACTTGGTGGTTCTACGCACAGTTAAGACGAATAGAGTTCAAATTAATGGAAAATGCATGGAGATTAAATATGGACGTTGATGGCCTAGCCTCATTCACTGGGACCTGCCTGTCATAATTTCACTATAGCTAAAACGTAGAACTATGCCTACCAGACGTTAGAAGATTGAAGTGGGGCCAAAGTCAAGGCCGAGGCCGAAACAAATTCCCCAATTCATTAGTCCAGCTTGAGGCACTCGTGAAAGCATGTGAGTAATTGCTTGAAAGCATACCTCTCCAACTGATCAATCGACATCTCCAATTTCCGAATGTCACCAGCAGGTGAGTGGGGAACAACTGCCCAACTCTTTTATTGCGCACTCCACCCTATAAATGATACTTAATATCTCCTCTATAGTATGGGCAGACTGATCAAAATTACAAAATTAATAAACACGATTGTTTCGCATCTCATTGGCCTGCTTTAGTATGTTGCCTGTGAGAGCGCATCAACTGTGTTGAAACCTCATGACTCTGAAAATGCTAAAATCTTCAACATACCGGTTTCTCACTCGAATCTTTAAGATGGTCAAATAGCAGTAGTTTGATGCCCCTCTTCTTGAAAATGCGTAAGTTCAATTCATAAAGGAAACAAACTTGTGCTGTTACTGTGGTTTCGGTAGTAAATAACCAAGGCTTTCCCTCATTGTTATTTCCAGTGCTTCGGTCTTGTGCTGCAATAAGAAATCCATTTGCCGATATTAACTTTTACTAATGCTAGTTAAGTAGAAATTTTTTAGAATGCCATTGTCTTGTCAGATCACAATATGTATTGGTCCATTATTTTTAGCTTCGAAGGCAGCTCACGATGTTAAGCTCCAATCAATCGAAAATTGTTTTGACTGCTGAATGCGCTTTCATACTAGAATAAGTTAAATTAGTAGTAAGGTAGCATCTAGGATTTTAAGCACTGTAACCAAATATTTTCCAACTAAAACAATATAAGAGACGCAAACTAATTGTATAGGTAAGACTTAGGTAAGCTGAGCTTCCGATAGACACATATGCATAGGCACCAGGTGGAATGCACAACATTGGGTAAGCAGCTGAGTTGTTGCATGTCTTTAGCTACCAAGATGGTGTCATCATCCCCTCTTGCTAGGATTGCTCATACATTCTATGAAGTTTCTTGAAAATTTGCAGCAGATTTTCCCAAGGGGCTGTTTTGAGCTTTGCTAAAGAATCGGTAAAAGAAAGCAAAATTACCATTTTCATAGTCTAGTTAATTAAGGTTACACAATTTAGTGAACTCTAGGGGTAAATTGAATCGACTGTATTTCTCTTTAGAAAGAGGTGATCGTAGTATCCTCATCACATCATAAAAACAATAAAATTGTGTGAATTCATTTTTATCAGAACGAAAAAAAGGGATTCTGAGGAAGAAGGGTAAAATTTTACGATTATGATCTACGTAAAGTGCTAATATAATGATCGGTTCTAAAAAAAGTAGTTTTGGATAACGTCAAACATATGATAGGACCAGACATGCATTCCGAGTTAAAAGAATTAGGGCGCACACTTTGCAGCGCATCGGTTGATTTACGGTGCAGAAGAGCTAACACGAAGAGGTGTTGTGCGGTTAAAAATGTGAGATCAAGTTTTCTCGACCTTGTGTGCCACATCTTGTTGGCGGACCAATAGAAATGTTAAAAGATGGAGGCAGTAAGTTTGCAAGCGTGGTTTAGCAGGCAGCCCGCCACTCTGTAGGTGAATAGCGCAAATTTACAATGGAATCAACAGGCTCAAATCATGATCTTAAGGTGGGCACAAAAAATGGAGAAGAACAACAGCAAGAACAGAATAAGCAAGAGTGGAACGAGGAAGGAGATGGACGACAAATAGCAATAAAGAGAGAGCAGGATTCAAAGGCACCCGTGGAGCACGCGATGGCACCTACTTCAGCCGACCCTGACTCGTCAGAAAAAGTTAGTGGCAACATAACTGATTTCTTGGACAG